TACACCTACAAGCACAAAACTCATTTTACTATTCTGATTAGAGCCCAGACCAAGTTGGTGTGGTTGCTGGAGAGGTGGTTTGTGTAAAAAGTGGTCCCATTTTCTGTGTAGGATTCCTTCAAAGTTCCTTGCTCGAATCATAACAAATCATTGTAAAACTGACCTCCAAGATGCCTGTTGAGTGTTTTTGGGGTGAGGGAATCACTGTATATTCAGGGCAGGTAACTAGTTGCTGGTAGAGGGGTTTTTGGGGGGGGAGTGAAAGGCAATTACTATAGGAGCTTTCTAAATTTTGGCCCATCGCATTGTTGAGTACGTCCTTACATTCCCAATCACCTTTGTAATCGCATGTGAGAGGGGGCTGCTGTTGAAGACCTTTTATGCATTACCTTTTCCTAATGCAGACGTGTTTGCCAACCCTTTTCCTGTCTACATTCACACATCACAAGTCAAATTTCTGGCTGATCGTGTTATTGTGCATGCTGCCTGATGCTTTGCTCATCTCCTAGCACTGATGGAAGAAATAAACCATGCTGTCCATGCCCAACAAGTCGGAAAGCCTGGCTTATTTTGATGTGCACATTTGGCCTGTGTTTTAGAATGGTGACACAGCTGTTCATTTGGGGGCAGGTTACTTGGATCGAGAAGCCATCCAAACAATGCCAGGTATACACTTTTCTCCTGAGAGGGGGCTTCATCTCGGATGCTGACGAATGTTTTGAAAGCATCCCTTTCTAGATCCAATTGCCTGAGAATTTCTTTCTTCCCAGAAGTTCCTGTTGTAGACACTTTAGAGAAAACTTGTGGGGCAGGGGGATTGTAAGCAGAGCCAGTCATATTGGTTGGCACTGCTGGGGCAGCTGCTACGGCCCACATCCCAGCAAAGGGCCCAACACAGGAGCAAGTCAGTGGAGCAGCTGTTACCACCATTGCCTGTTTGCTCAATCACACTCCCCACACCCCCTGCCACTGCCGCCAAAGCAATGGCGGTGATTTTATTCAAAGAGAGAGTGAGAGCAATTCAAGGAGTTGTAGGCATGCTTGGAGAGGACTCAAAATCTGGACCCTGTGCTACTCATCTTATGAGTAGCAATAGGACATTGAGACTTGGCTGCACTTGTGTCTGGGACTTGTGTAGGGAGGTGCACGCGTGTGTGTGTGGTTTTTGTTGAGATGGAACAAACTGTCTGGTGTTCAGCAAAACCAACTTGGCGGCCGAAGCTTGTGTCCCAGATTGCTTGAGAGCTGCCTTCCTTTAATGTACCCGCAGCGTCTTCTGCGAACACATATTTTGCCTGCTCTTGAACTTTTCTGGCATATCCTGTGCCCTCCTGAATGTTCGCTGGCAGCCTGATCCCTGGGCACCCCTTGCAGTGCTGTGTATGTATGAGAAGGAGCGAGAGAGACGGACTGACTATGAATAAGAGTGTGTTGGGAGCCGTGTTCGGACAGCAAGCCTCCCCTCCATCCCTCCCCCTTTTCCCTTTGGCTAGCTGCTCCAGTTCTGATCTCCTTATTTGGCTACACTGTTCCCAAAGAAGGGGTGGGGTGGGCTGGAAGGGGAGGGGAGGGGGAGCAAGGGAGAGACTGGGTGACATCACAGAGCTCGGAAAGAAGTTGCTTGGGGAGTGTGTGTGTGCGTGGAGGGGCGGAATCACCACCAAACACTTGAGCCAAGCTCGTTGTCGGCAGTTTCTTAAAAAGGAGATGTCTGTACTGGAGACCTTTGTTGTGCTCTGTCCGGGAAGCTCTCTAGCCAAAGGAGACACCTCTCTGTTCTCAGCTCCCCCAGGAGCAGCTGGTGGGGCTGCCGCAGAGCATGTTGTTGCAAAACACTTAGCTGCTCTGGGGGAGCAAAGGGGAGTGGGAGTGGAAGTGGCAGGCACTATTTCAAGGCCCACTGACACAGCCTCGCTGGGGATGGGAGTCTGCGCCCAGCACACATCTCTCAGAGATGTTTCTGAAGACTTGGGCCATTGAGAGGACCTCTGAGTAATGAGTCCCAAAGGCTGTGTGTTTCTGTATCTGTGTTTTCTCCTCTTTCCCTGAGATGCCAAATCATTGTATCCTGGAAAATAAGGGGAGGAAAAGCCAAGCAAAGGGCCAGCTTTAAACCATTAAGTCTACAACCCTGTCCGCACTTAGCTGGGAGTAAGCCCCATGGAATTCGGCAGGACTTACTTCTAAGCAGACTTGGTGAGGATTGTGCTGTAAGTCAAGTTTCAGTTTTGAATTCAGGGGTTCCTGCCAGTGTTCAAAACTCCCATTGTTCCAGGCGCATTTTGCGACAGGGAATTTCATTAGCGTGATCAGTTTCTGAGCTCTGGGTGCAGTACCAACGCCTAAGATTTCAGATTAAAACTGCAGAGTGGAAGGAGAGGAGGACCTTTTCTGCCTTCCCACTTCCAGCTACTCTCTGAAGACTAGAGAAGATACCCTCTTAAGAATATTAGGGGGGTGGGCAGGGGAAGGACTAGAGCATGTGAAAAATGAGCATAATATTTTAGCTGCAGTTCATTCATTTTCAGCTTTGTATTCTTGTTATAAAAAAAGTGTGCCTAGACATTCCGTTGTTGCGCCCATAACCTAGGTTTAAGGTGCCATTTAGCTCCTAGCTTTCATATCTCAGTTTCAAACACTGGTTCCTGCATACTAAGTGCTAGAATGATTAAAACATGTTGGTTTGCAAACGAATCTGCATACAACTTAAGAACATAACAAGAAATTTGCGGTCATGCAGCCTACATGCACTGTGGAGTTATATCTGCTTAGAAGCAAGAGACTGGTTTCTGTTTATTTCTCTCTGATACTGAGCGAGATCGCATTCTCTGATACTCAAGCAAGATTAAGACTGCAACCCTGTGAACATTTGCTTGGAAGTAAGTTCCCACTGGAAGTGGAATTTACTTTTAAAGTCAACTTGCATAGCACCAGGCCATAAGTGTTTAGAACTTACCAAAGGTAAGGGCTGGTAATTGGACACATTAGTGCAGGAGTCAGCAAACTTTTTCAGCAGGGGGGGCCAGTCCACTGTCCCTCAGACCTTGTGGGGGGCCGGACTATATTCTTTGGGGGGGGGGAGAACGAATTCCTATGTCCTACAAATAACCCAGAGATGCATTTTAAATAAAATGACACATTCTACTCATGTAAAAACACGCTGATTCCCGGACCGTCTGTGGGCCAGATTTAGAAGGCGATTGGGCCGGATCCGGCCCCCTGGCCCTAGTTTGCCTACCCATGCATTAGTGTCTTTCCATGAAATGGAAAGTAAATTTCTATGTTTGGTAGGTAGAGTCATCAATATTCATTAGAGAATTAGAGATCTTCTACATAAAGCAGAAGTACAAGATCATGATGCAGGATGGCAGATCCTGGTTCCTGGTCCCTCTGATTATCCCGGGTCCAGTAGGAAGCCGGCAATAATAAATACAGTATGTGGCAATGTGTCTTTTTTTATAAATGCTTAACCTCAGAAATGAGATCTTTTTTTCTTCATGGTTTTTTGCATAACAAAGTTGTCTTTACCAAAATGGCCTGGTTCCTCAGAAGTAGTAATAGACAGGGGCTTTCCTGATTGCCCCCACTTTTCCTGAGACTGTGGTATGAGGTGAAAATCACCTCAAATTGAGTGCAGACACTTTCTGTCTACAGCTCTCTGAAACTGGAGCAATTACTCCTTCCTGCTGATCCGACCCCATTCTGGAGGGTCCTCTGACCCTCCAGGAGATGCTTTTCAGGAAACTCAGGGGACTGCAGGGTGAGGGCAGGAAAATCCCCTCCTACCGGCCTCATTCTTAAAGTATTTCTTATTATACAAGCCACTGTGTTTGATAGATGCTTATGATTCAGCATTCAAATCAGTATTTAATATCTATGATCCAGTATTATAGTCAGTTACTTTTTAAAAAGACACTTGTGGAAAAACTTGATTAAAATTGAGAAAAAGCACATGTTTTAGTGTGGCTGCATTTTGAACATGGATTATTATTATTATTGTTGTTGTTGTTATTTGTTTCTAAAGTTTTCTGTCATGTTGTTTTGTGGGTTATTGTAATGGTTTTTATTGTAATACATCGTTTTCTGATTTCATGTTATGCTTTTGGCTCTTAATCTTTTGGTCAGTCGCTCAGAGACTATCTTGTAGTGAGAGACTAATAAGTCAAATAAATAATAAGAAAAAGGTATTATGCTGTGTGCGATGGGGTTCAAAGAAACAATCATTTCAAAAATGTTGTGTTGTGTGCCGTGGGGGGTTATCTGACTCTCCCTTATACTAAGTGAGGCTGTTTAATTAATCCCTGCTTCAGCTCAAGTAACTTGTTAGGGAGTGTGTGTGTGTGTGTGTGTGTGTGTGAAGATGGGTGACATCTAATATAGCACGAGCAGCTGTCCTCTCATGCAATGGCTTCTCTTTCTTTTTCTCCCATCTCTCTCCCCAAATCTGCTTCAGAAGGTTAGGGGACCCTCTGAAACAGATTTTGGGAGCTGGGGAAGTGAGAAAAGAAGCCACAAGTCCCACTGTGTAAATGGATACACATCACTGAATATCACCCAGTGTCTCTTCGTTTCCTTAGTCAAGTGTTCAGATTATTGTAAGAATATCACAGTATGGCTGCAATAATGGTAGCCTTGAATGAACCAATGGGTTTTGGATTGTATGTTCTGTGGCTTGGAGAACATCAACACAGAGAGATGTGAAACATGTATATGTAGAAAATGTGTTGTATGTCAAACACTAAAAAACCCCCACACTTGGCCATATTGATTTCCAGACATTAATGCCAATCTCTGTGTGTGTGTGTTCAAAAGATGCATGTTTATAATGCTTTTGAAGGATGATCAAGCCCCCAACAAGAGAGAGTAAGAAAAGACTGACCCGTCACACTTCTCCATTTACTTTTGATTGAAAGAGTACAGTTGTATGGTCTAGAATTATAAAGGAGAACTAGGAGTCCGCAGGCCTGGTTGATTAATCAGCAAACTTTTCTTGCCCTTAGGTTGCTGAGTTGCCGTTTGGGGCTCAGGGTCAGAGCCCAGAGCAGCCATCACAATAGCGTCCAACAGCTGGAACGCCAGCGGCAGCCCCGGGGAGGGGCGAGAAGATGGACAGGAGGGGATGGACAAGAGCCTGGACAATGATGCCGAAGGAGTGTGGAGTCCAGACATTGAACAGAGCTTCCAGGAGGCGCTGGCAATATACCCGCCATGTGGCCGGCGGAAGATTATTCTCTCGGACGAGGGCAAAATGTATGGTGAGTGAGACCGTGTCATGCTTCTATGTTCATGTGGCTTAAACCAGATTCCATGCAGGACACCCATTCATTGCACGTTGTCCATTCAGATGGCCGCAGCTTTGGATATTTATTTATTCACACTTATCCCACGTTTCCTTGCAGTCGTTCAGTGTGATTTTCATCTTTTCCCTCCCCCTTTTTACTTACAAATATCTCGAGAGGTAGGTTACGGTTGAGAGAGAGTGACTAGCCCAAGGTGAGATTCGTGACTGAATGGGGATTTGTATCTGGGTTTCACAAGTCCTAAAAGGTAAAGGTAAAGGGACCCCTGACCATTAGGTCTAGTCGTGACCGACTCTGGGGTTGTGGCGCTCATCTCGCTTTATTGGCCGAGGGAGCTGGCATACAGCTTCCGGGTCATGTGGCCAGCATGACAAAGCCGCTTCTGGCAAACCAGAGCAGCGGAAATGCTGTTTACCTTCCCGCCAGAGCGGTACCTATTTATCTACTTGCACTTTGATGTGCTTTCGAACTGCTAGGTTGGCAGGAGCAGGGACCAAGCAACGGGAGCTAAAACCGCTATACCACATTGCTTTCTGTATCTGAGGATTTGATTGAGGATGTCTTTGTTATTTAGTTATCATCTATTTACAGCCTAAAATATTATGGTGTAATAGCCACCCTATTACCATGTTTTGTTTTGCAGGCACATACCAAATCCCTTCAGCTGCTGGCTAGGGAGATCCAGGTGGGGGAGTAGGAATTTGCTTCTTATAAACATTCTTAGGTTTAAAATATGTACCTCTGACACACAGGCCTTAGATGCTAAAAGTGTGTTTTGCTTCTGGCACTTCAGGATGTTGCTTTCCAGTCTGTGTTCCTGACTTGGTCCCTGCTGTGTTTTATCTCCCTGATCACTTTGGCTAGTAATAAAGGAGATGGACTACCCAAAGACCATCCTGAGAGAGGGGAGATGAAGTGTTTGTGGAGGTGGCTGTCTTGGAGTGGATAAAGAACTCCAGGGTAGCGCTGAACTCTTCTTCCCTAGATTGTTGACTCACATCTCCTTTGTACTTCCCTAGGTCTATATATCCCTCCCACTCCCTTATGCCTCATCTCTCCTCTCCCTCCCACTCTTTTCTCTGCCTGGCTTGACTGACTGGTTTGGTAAGCTCATTCCTGTCAAAGGAGAGATTGATTTTCGTCTGCTTGAGGATCCCACATGCCTGCCGTTGGGTGTGAAAGGTGGTGTATCTTCTCGCAAGCAAAACACTCTATTCTCTTTTTTTAGGTTTATCGCCTTCCTTGTATTGGGGTTTTATTAAATGCCACAACAGGGTCTGCATCTGTGATTTTCTTGCTTCTCAATATGATACTATGACCTCAGATAGGCTAGGGCTGCAATCCTATACGCTCTCACTCCTGAGTAGGCATTTATAGAAACACACTGGAATTCCAATGAAACAAACTCTCCCATCTTTCGGTTGACTTCTTTGTGCATTTAATGTGCCCTCATTAAGTTGGTGACGTTACAAATTCATACCCTTAGCTTACCCCCGGGGTATGCTTGCTTACTGTTTTATTTAAAAATATTTCTAGACTGATTTCCTGGGCCATCCCCATTCAAAATGACTTACAACAATAAACTACCATAAACAATCAGAGATATTTTACTGTAGTTCATTGGTGGGGAACCTGTGGCTCCCCAGATGTTGTTTGACTACACATCCCATCATCCCTGACCATCAGCTTTGCTTGCTAGGGTTGATGGGCATTGGAGTCTAGCAACCTCTGGAGGGCCACAGGTTCCCAGTGCCTGTGTAGCATGAGAGCTCGGTTAACGGAAGAAGGCTCAGTTGTCAGATATTAATTCGTTGCAATTCCTTTTCTGTTTTTGAGTTTGTATACACATTCTGTTGCATATTTTAATTGTCATGGTTTTATGCCAAGCTTTGAGATAACCAGCCTGCATCAGTTGGCTCCTGTAAAAACCCAATAGCCATCTTCAGCCACCGCCTCCAAAACAGAAGTGCTTTACTTGTGTAAGCAGTGTTACATAGGAGCTACAGACTCACACGAGATCACAGCTCCAATGTTAGGTCATTCAGATGAGTAGGTCACTCATATGAATAGGAATTTTCATATGGCATCTTGTTGGAACCAGCACTCATTGTAAAAATGGTTTCATCTGGAATGGGAGGGAGGGAGGAGAGGAGATTATGCCTTATCAGTTGCTGTTGTGAAATGGGCGGTAACGAAGACAAAAAGGCTCATACACTATACAACATAAGCTCTCTTGCTTATGAAAGGAATGGGTTGTAGATCCCGAATTGCTCTAGATCAGCGGTTCTCAACCTGTGGGTCCCCAGATGTTGTTGGACTACAACTCCCATCATCCCTGATCTCTGGCCTTGCTAGCTAGGAGTGATGGGAGTTGTAGTTCAACAACATCTGGGGACCCACAGGTTGAGAAAGTCTGCTCTAGATACTTTTCTGCAAGGTGAGGAGGTGAAGAAGAAAGGGCAGCTTTGGTCCTTTTGCCATTGAGATGATACATTTCTGAGCTCTGTGCCCACCACACCTAAGAAAGCAGTTAAAAAGGAGGGAGGGTGAGAATGAAGGTCTCTGACTCCTGATTGGTTTGAATGTGATAAATCCATGTTGCCACCATAATTGGCTTAGTTAAGTAATTCTGTCAGTCTCCTCACATTTAAGCAAACACAGAAGGAGAGGTAGGGGTGGACTGCCAAGCTCTGCCCCTTCCACTGTGTTAACTTGTCCCAGTTCAGAGCCCTCCACAAGTTTGAGGGTGAGGATCTGAAGTGAGATGCTGTCTCTGGACGTGATTGTGGTGGGTGCTTCCATGAAGAGAAGAGGCTCCGTGTTTCAGGCAGTTGCCCTCAAACTTGTGGAAGGTTCTGAACCGTCTAGGGATGTCATGTTGCAGGGGTGAAGCTTGGCAGTGTGCCCCTTGTGTCTTGCTTAAATGTGAGGAGATTGAATAGCCAGATAGGGCTTGAATATCTTCCCTTATGCCAGTGCCTCAGGTTGTGGTGGCAGTGGCGATCGTAGGGTTCAGGCACAGTTTCACCCAAACTGTTTCGTGTTGCTGCAGAGTGAAATGTTGTAAACAGACACGTATTGCTGCTTCCTACTCATCAGCTCCTGCTGTGATGTCATAATTCTATGTTTGTGACCTCAAAGCACTATCTCCATAGGAATGGATCATCCTGTTGACAAACACTGGATTAATGACCATGCTGAATGAGTCAGGGATCCCAAGAGAACATTGCCTGTTGTTTTAAGTGCATAATTGTTTGTCCTCTTTTTTTTTGTTAACGTTGTTTGAGCCTCCCCAAGTGTAACTGCCATTCTCCTCCTGGGACACTAGCCTCCCAACCGTGCAGTAGCTGCTTTATCTGTGTGCAGCTCCTGTAAGACTGTGATAACCCTAGAGGATAGCTCAATCGGTAATGCACGAGACTCTTATCCTCAGGGTCATGGGTTTGAGATGCAATGCAGGATTGGGCTCATGGTCCCTTCCAACTCTGTGATTCTAACATTGACATGATTCCAACCATGACTCCTTCCCACAGAATTTGCACCATGGAAGGAGAGAGGCTTCCCAGTTCCATGCACAAAGGTGCAGATGGACAGAGTTGTGCAGTTTCCATATTGTCCAAAATGCTCATGGATAAACAGTTCCCATGTAGCTGGGAGAATAGATATACATATTCAGCATTGTGCATGGATGCTGAAAATGATTGGCTAGAATTGGTAAGGGATGTCTTCCTCAAGTTACGTTGTAGGCTTTAGTAGTCCTGGTAAAGGTAAAGGGACCCCTGACCATTAGGTCCAATCGTGGCCGACTCTGGGGTTGTGGTGCTCATCTCGCTGTATTGGCCGAGGGAGCCGACGTACAGCTTCCAGGTCATGTGGCGAACCAGAGCAGCGCACAGAAACGCCGTTTATCTTCCCGCCGGAGCGGTACCTATTTATCTACTTGCACTTTGACGTGCTTTCAAACTGCAAGGTTGGCAGGAGCAGGGACCGAGCAACGGGAGCTCACCCCATCACGGGGATTTGAACCACTGACCTTCTGATCGGCAAGCCCTAGGCTCTGTGGTTTAACCCACAGCGCCACCCGCATCCTAGTAGTTCACCATTAAAAATGGTAGTGTTGCAGGTATCCATATCCTGGAAAGCCTGCCCCAATCCTAAACATAGGTGAATGGGTTGTGGTTACCCATTTTGAGAGAACTTGTTGTGTTCAGTGGCGTGTTTTGTTATTCTTCACATGTTCTAGTGCTGAGCCCTGGCACTAAATGCATACGCCTGATGTTGAAATCTGGCCTGAGTAGTTACTTTAGCCCTGGGGTTGCTAACATTTTTGGACTTGTAGACCCTTTTGCAAACCAGAGAAACTGTTGAAGACACAACCAAGCACATTCCACAACCTAATATATTGGCTGCAACAGAATGCTGCTTTCAAGCCTGGTTTCAGCCGGGAGAGGAGACCCTGGTGGCACATGTGTGCCTGCAGGTGACAAATGGATGACCCCTGTTTTATCCACTTTACTTATATTTTTGTGCTGCTGCCATAACTGTTTCCCATGCCTTCTTACCAGGAGCCTGCCTAAAGGGGAGATGGCACTTTGCACCTCCCCTCCCCTTTTGCGCCCCCAACATGGCCCAGGGTCTCTCTGACAGGCAGGGGTGGAAGGTTTCTGAAGAGGCACATTTTTTAGATTTCTCCAGGAATAGCTGGAGTGCCGCTGGGGAGCTTGGCCTTTGTTCATCAAGCCCAAGTGTACAAACTGGTTTTTCCAGCCACTTGGAGACATCTGGCAATCGCTTAAAGGAACAGCAGCCCTGTTCTGCTTCTGCCTTTTTAAAATTTGGCTGCTCTCCCCACCCCCAATCTTTTTTTTTTTAACCCTGTTTTATACTTTACCCCACCTCTGCTTTTCTTCACTCTCTAGAAATCTCTTCTTGACTGCATGTGCAATAAGAGTAGA